CGGCAATCTGTAAATAATCGAGTCTGCCAAAGACAATCCAGGTATCAACAGCATGAGAATAGAGCTACGCAATTGGGTTGGCATGTGTCAACCAAGTCAGCGGGCCTGACCCCCCCAATCCCCTTAGTAGCCTCTTACGACAACCATGGGTTACTGAAGATCAATTCTAGCCCGTATCATCACGGGTCCCGTTGCTCAGTGGTTCCAAGCGATCCAGATGTATATGTATTTCTTTCTTGCGTGTTTTGTTATGAGAGAGTGTTTTTTTGTAATTTGTGTATCATTGATAGTTGTTATAGGACTGTGTGTTTTGTCTCGCATCTCGCATCACGTGTTCAATGGCAGAAGTATTTGTAGCGTCACGCCTTTTTGATAGCGCGTCAGAGTTGCCTCCCTTGGCAACTTGTTGACTTCATGCCGTGGAGTGTTCCACCGATTTCGAAAACGTTCTGAGTGGACAATGATGCAGCCTAGCTTGTTGAGTTGTGCCACGCGGGTCTTTTTCACATGACTGGATTTATACACATCTGTCTGCATCGTCAAGTTGTTCAACGTTCATTGTAAACAATCAGTATATCTGTTTCCACTGTAAAAATCAAGATTCTGGTGAGTTGATATCTTATATTTGTGACCCAATATTTGAGATTTGTGACTCAATTGCATTGTACTAGAAATCTGTATTGTCATTCATTGTAGTTTGCTCATTGTTTGTTCAATATATGATTGGATAGTTCATACTTGTCTGTGTTCTATTTTGCTGATTCAAAGGTTTATTGGTTAACGCCGAACTCAGCAATATTCCAACTGTATGAAGACTGGACCAGTTAATCTAATGACTGACATAATTAGCATCTATCTACACAATCAGGATACGATCAGCAAGCCTGACCACCCGATCCTCTTAGGACAAGTATGGGTTGGTGAAGATCCGTTCAACCTCGAAAATGCTCACTGTTGTATTCTTTTGGTGCACAGAAAGTTTATGGAAGTGTTTTTGTTTAAATTTTAGAATTTAGAAGAATGCCAGAAAGCACAAAATATTCAAACTCACTAACTGTCGTGAAACAGACTTAATGTCAAAGCGTTTGTTTTGTTTGTTTGTAATATATGTTCATTCCAGAGCACCCGTGAAGTTCCGGGTTAGAACTGGTCTTCAGTAACCCATGCTTGTCGTAAGAGGCGACTAACGGGATCAGGCGGTCAGGCTCGCTGACTGGGTTGACACATGCCATTGTATCCCAATTGCGTAGATTGATGCTCATGCTGTTGATTCCTGAATTGTCTGGTCCAGACTCGATTATTTACATACCCCCGCCATATAGCTGGAATATTGCTGAGTGCGGCGTAAAACTAAACTCACTCACTCACTCTAGTCATTATTATATTTTGGTTCGGACCTGGAGAGGTGGGGTAGCCTTGTGGTTAAAGCGTCCGCCAAAGACACGGGTTCGATTCCCCACATGGATACAATGTGTGAAGCCCATTTCTGGTGTCCCCTGCCGTGATATTGCTGGAATGTTGCTAAAAGCACCCCCTCATCCGCCTATTCACCCTGTACCGACAACTTAATGACCTTTCAGGCGCTTATCATTTAAGTTTCTTTAGCATATGACGTCAAAGAGTCTTCACGCGTGTAGCTGAATCACACCACGCCTGGATATATTTGCATTGTGAGTTTTCTATCTCTTGAAGGATGACTTTTTGTACTTCACTGTCTTAAATTTCCACAGTTTCTGTGCACATATTTAAAGTAAAAATGATGGAGGAATTACTTCGCTGAGATGTGCACGGAATTAAGGAGGTAAAGAACAGCGTTGGTTTAAAAACGTACTTCGTCTTTAATTAGCTTTCCAATCATCTACTTTGGCCATGCATGCAAATTTGGGATCACTGAAGCCACATTGCCACAAATATTTTACTTCAGTCAAAAAATTAAAGTAAAAGTAAAAAAGCATCCCTGTGAACGCAACATTTGCCGAGACATGTACGACTTGAAAACTGTTGTATTTTGTGTTTTAACATCAGCTGGGAAAACCTTATCGCGATGACTCGAATCAACTTATTCTCATGTCTCGAATTCATGTATTACAATCCTTTATCTCAACCGTGTTTTGGTGTTCCCTGGCGTGATATTGATGAAATATTGCTAAAAGTGGAGAAAACTAACCTCACTTACCCACTCACCTTTATCTCGATATCTCAAATTGGCATATCTGGTTGTCACGATTTTCACAGTCCTTCACTGTCTCGGACTCTTATCTCGCTGTCTGATAACTCACAATTCGTTTGAGAGCTCTCAATCCAGGTTGAAATGGCTCTGTAAAAATCCAACACTCCGTTTCTCTCGAAATCTAAATACCACGTCATGAATCCAATGTCCTGAGTATACGATCGCGAGGGGTCACTGTTTTCGGAAAGCAATAATATTCTTGTCAATATGTTCATGCGTTCTGCAAGCTCGACTTTGGTTTGGTACACTCTGTTTTTCTTGCCATTATTTCTATGCATTCATACGAAGCCGCAATTGTTATAGATAAACAAAGCTCCCCTTGAGTAGAGTCATTTGAATGAGTTGTCGATTATTGACCCATGACTGAGAAAGAAACTGTGTTGAGTGTGAGAGCTTGAGATTGTGACGTCAATTTCCAAACGAATAGACAAACAGTCGCTGTCAAACTGTGCATAACTGGTCGTGTGACACTGGTACAAAGAGACCTACATCAGACCGTATTACCCTCGAGAAAAGCATACAACTTATATTGTCGAAATGTGTGAAACTGTGCCATTAATAGATTATCTCAATGTATCAGCATTAAATGAGTGAGTGAGTTGATTTCGATTATGCACAGTTTGATAGCGACTGTTGGCTCGGGTGACACTGCTACAAAGAGGCGTACATCAGACCGTTTTACCCGAGGGAGATGTTTACAACGTATTTAACTTACCACCATGTTAAATGTATAAAATATATCATTTTATTTTATGTTGAAGATCGATCAGCTCGCTACCGACTATATGATATGTAAACAAAATGGCGTCTGCCTCTCGACTGGATTTTTAAAATCAGTGAAACATATTCTGGCAAGCTTAAAACTGCTATAAAATGGTTGATTATGTTTGAATTGAGTGTGCAAAGGATTCAATGTATATAATAGTTTAAATAAAGCAGTGAAAGCCGGTAAAATAAATCGGTATATTGTGAACTCAAAAACAGCTAAATCAAACGGTTTTCGAACTCCGTGCGCTGCTTACGTCATCTTATGACGTCACGCGATTGTGAGTGATACAGCTTCTCGGCGGAGAGTTTGGTGGTTACCGTGGCAGCGAGTAATATTTTTTTCCATTTGTAACCCTCCTGGGAGGGGATACACGGAAACTTGTTAAAGCGTCATTGGCCAATGAAATTCAAGTATTTTACAAGAAGTTAAGAGTTTGACCTGTATCATATATGTTGGGGCATATGCACTCACTTTAGCTTCCAATTGATGCAATAAAAGACGTATTATCCGTCACGACTTCCCTAAAAGCTATAATTGAAACTTCGGGGCGAATAGCTTCCAAACATAGAACGCTTGGCATATATGGCACGCGGTGCTGTCGGTGTTTGTCGAACCGGTTTTAACCACAGTTTCTAAGGTGTTATAGGATAGTTGTCACGAGCGCTCCAAGGGACATAACTCTATGGGGTTTGCCTGAAATAATGTTCCGCCTGGAGAGGGCGCAAAGTCGATTTAATGCAACGTTGCATTAATTCTTTCGAATTGTTCAATGTAATCTTGTAATCTAAATACGTAACTTTCTTTTGAATAAATTATATGGTAGCTTCCCTGAGGGCTGATAGTTAGTATTATTGAGAGAAATGCATTATTTATCCGTGAGAAGTGTGGTGTGAAACAGTGCATTGAATCTTCAATTCGACAACACCTCATTACAAACCCGGGGCGGTGGGGTAGCCTAACGGTTAAAGCGTTGGCTCGTCACGCCGAAAAACCGGGTTCGAATCCCCACGTGGGTACATTGTGTGAAACCTTATTTCTGGTCTCCCCCGCCGTGATATTCAGTCTGTCATTACAAACCCTCTACGACAAGTTTACTTTCCATGCGGTTTCCACAAGCTGTTTTAGCCAGCATTCTGCTTTGTTTTATAGCTTAAAATATGTTCGATATATTTTGCAGCATAAAATGTCATGCGTTTTTTTCGGGACACATTCTTAATTTGAATTCCAAAAGTAAAAGAAATGCATTTTTTCTGGACATTTCCGGAAATACGAAACATAAGTTTTCATGCTGTGTTCAGTTCTCTGTTGAACATTCCGATGACCATACGCTTATAGCACCTATCTAATTCATTGACTGATTTCATAGTACTCGTAAGAATAATCACTAGAATATGCAAATTCCACGTTTATGCAAAACCAACACTCGATAGTTTACGACCTTCATGTAGGATTTCCAGAGGGAGTTATTTTATTGTACACACTTCCCAGAAGCATGTTCTGATGCTCAGAAGTAAACATTGCCGTGTGGCGTACAGAACAAACATATATTTTGTTTTCCGCAGAACTAAAATAAACTACATATTTGTAAAGGCTACCCCCGTAACAATCAAACGTTGGCAACAAAATCAATGAATAACGCTGCTGTCGCTGTTGTGAGCTACCACGGAGACATCGGGTCACTTGAAGAGTATTTGCGGACATAAAATGTGACGTTCCCTAAGCGCTTTGTCCTTCCAGGGAAGAGCTCAATGTTTTACGGAAATACTCGAGTTATAACGAATGTACCGTAAGCGTGACGTGACGTCACAATGTACGTAAATTAACGCGTTTGGAACGAGTAGGTTTTATTGTGGCGTTATTTGCATGCATTAAGTGGTAGGAATCTGGAGGTAATTGGTACACAGTTATAACGTAAAATACAAACCCTCAAATCAATAACAGGATTGAATGGAATCGATCTTTCTCGTGCATGCTAAGCCTACACGGAGCTATGATGAATTTTGCCCAACTGTCATGCATTGAGCAATGGCGATCAACGTTAACGATCTGTATTATCATGGATTACGGGGATATCGACGCTGAATTGCTGAAATCTGCTGAAATCTGTTGATAAAGGTAGGACAGAATTTATTATTTTAGGAACCAGGATCCTGGTTTGTTTTGTGGGCTGCTGAGAGGGGATTTCAGTACATAGTGACGTTTTTGGAGATTGTGAGCCGTGATGTATGCAGCTGTATTCCAATGTCATCTCTCGTCAGTGCATAAATGACAAATGGGCTATTTCATTGCATGGCGAGATTCATATCGAGTTATTTGCAGAAAACATTGATTTTGAGGGTTTTGTTGATGTTTTGATGGGATTTATAACTGTGAATTTACATCTCCGCTCGCCATAAATGTGTCACGTCCTAATTTGAGTGAACGTCAATAAAATGTCATTTCCGCAAACTCGTACACGGTGGTGTGATTCCGTCAAAAAACGTCATATATCGAATCTCATAACAAGGAGGCAGCTCAGTGTTTGTTTGCTTGGTGAAAGGGCTGAAATTCAGCTGTGACAAAGAATCGCTTAGATTTTACCCTCGACTGATGCGCTGGTATAAACAACATGATGACGTTTCTGCATACCACGTGCTTCAGTGGTGACGTTATTTTGTTCCCCATGTCTCCGTTATGACGTTATTTTGTACTACGTCTCTCAGTGGTGACGTTATGACGTTATTTTGTACTACGTCTCTCAGTGGTGACGTTATTTTGTTCCCCCTGTCACCATTATGACGTTATTTTGTACTACGTCTCTCAGGGTTGACGTTATTTTGTTCCCCCTGTCACCGTTATGACGTTATTTTGTACTACGTCTCACAGGGTTGACGTTATTTTGTTCTCCATGTCTCCATTATGACGTTATTTTGTACTACGTCTCTCAGGGTTGACGTTATTTTGTTCCCCCTGTCACCGTTATGACGTTATTTTGTACTACGTCTCTCAGTGGTGACGTTATTTTGTTCCCCATGTCTCCGTTATGACGTTATTTTGTACTCCGTCTCTCAGTGGTGACGTTATTTTGTTCCCCATGTCTCCGTTATGACGTTATTTTGTACTACGTCTCTCAGTGGTGACGTTATGACGTTATTTTGTACTACGTCTCTCAGTGGTGACGTTATTTTGTTCCCCCTGTCACCATTATGACGTTATTTTGTACTACGTCTCTCAGGGTTGACGTTATTTTGTTCCCCCTGTCACCGTTATGACGTTATTTTGTACTACGTCTCACAGGGTTGACGTTATTTTGTTCTCCATGTCTCCATTATGACGTTATTTTGTACTACGTCTCTCAGGGTTGACGTTATTTTGTTCCCCCTGTCACCGTTATGACGTTATTTTGTACTACGTCTCTCAGTGGTGACGTTATGACGTTATTTTGTACTACGTCTCTCAGTGGTGACGTTATTTTGTTCTCCATGTCTCCGTTATGACGTTATTTTGTACTACGTCTCTCAGTGGTGACGTTATTTTGTTCCCCATGTCTCCGTTATGACGTTATTTTGTACTACGTCTCTCAGTGGTGACGTTATGACGTTATTTTGTACTACGTCTCTCAGTGGTGACGTTATGACGTTATTTTGTACTACGTCTCTCAGTGGTGACATTATTTTGTTCCCAATGTCTCCGTTATGACGTTATTTTGTACTACGTCTCTCAGTGGTGACGTTATGACGTTATTTTGTACTACGTTTCTCAGTGGCGACATTATTTTGTTCCCCATGTCTCAGTGTTGACGTTATTTTGTTCCCTATGTCTCCATTATGACGTTATTTTCTACTATGTCTCTCAGTGGTGACATTATTTTGTTCCCCATGTCTCAGTGTTGACGTTATTTTGTTCCCTATGTCTCCATTATGACGTTATTTTCTACTACGTCTCTCAGTGGTGACATTATGACGTTATTTTGTACTACGTCTCTCAGTGTTCACGTTATTTTGTTCCCTATGTCTCCATTATGACGTTATTTTGTACTACGTCTCTCAGTGGTGACATTATTTTGTTCCCCATGTCTCAGTGGTGACGTCATTTTGCATTCTGTGATGATGTTATTTTGTTCCACGCGGCTCAGTGATTACGTTATTTTGCACTTCGTGTCTCTGTGGTGGTGTTACTTTGCATCCCGTGCCTTAGTGATAGCGTTATTATGTTCCCCATGTCTCAGTGGTGACGTCATTTTGTACCACGTCTCACAGTGATGACGTCATTTTGTACCCTGCGTCACAGTGGTGATGTCATTTTGTACCACGTGTCACAGTGATGACGTCTCATTTATAACAATATTTTGTTCCCCATGTCTCAGTAATGACGACATGTTCCTCCTCGTATTACAGTAATGACGATATTTTCTTCCCCATGTCTCAGTGGGGGCCATGTCTCAGTGGGGGCCGTTAGTGGGGGCCGTTATTTTCTTCCCGATGTCTCAGTGGGGGCCGTTATTTTCTTCCCGATGTCTCAGTGGTGGGGGCCGTTATTTTCTTCCCGATGTCTCAGTGGGGGCCGTTATTTTCTTCCCGATGTCTCAGTGGGGGCCGTTATTTTCTTCCCGATGTCTCAGTGGGGGCCGTTATTTTCTTCCCGATGTCTCAGTGGGGGCCGTTATTTTCTTCCGATGTCTCAGTGGGGGCCGTTATTTTCTTCCCGATGTCTCAGTGGGGGCCGTTATTTTCTTCCCGATGTCTCAGTGGGGGCCGTTATTTTCTTCCCGATGTCTCAGTGGGGGCCGTTATTTTCTTCCCCATGTCTCAGTGGGGGCCGTTATTTTCTTCCCCATGTCTCAGTGATGACATTCTTTGTGCAACATCTCTCATTAAGGCCTTCCATGAAAGTAGTATAACTTTCTTACAGCGGTGAGTGGTGGGATAGACCTGTTGTCAAATCCATGCTTCAGTATTAATTTTGATAGACCTTGGAACCTTGAAGATCCGGCTTAGAATTAGTCTTCATCAACACATGCTTGTCGTAAGAGGCTTCTAACAGATCGTATCCCAATTACGTAGATCGATGCTCATACTGTTGATCACTGGCAGGTCTGGTCCAGACTCGATTATTTACAGACCCACGCCATATTGCTGCATTATTGCTGTGTGCGGCGTTAAACAAGAAACAACCAAACAAACTTGGATATCCGTAGTTTTCTTAAAAATGACAGCAATAAGGAGCATGACTTATCTGGACCTTCTCAGAGGCCAATATCCCACCTCAAATATGCAGCAAAAGTCAATAAAACTTCCAAACTTTGAATCCCAAACTTCCCTGTTTATTTTATCATCGTTAAAACTCAGGTTATGTCTCTGCAGAGGGGGCTTGTATTTCACTGATAAGCACTATCAAGACGTAAAAGACAATGAGGTTTTAAAGCTTTTTACACAATTGCATAAAATGCAATGTTGAAGTACCCTGAATTTAGCGAAATAAGATTATATTTTTTCCCGATTTTTTTAGATTTGCCTGCAACCTGCACTTTGTTTGCAATCCTTGTAAAAGTGCATATTTTGAAACATATTCTGTTGCCTGTTTGTCGTTATTTAGCGACAGCCTCTGACCATGTTATGCTCTGTCTTGTAAACAACACTGGAAGTTGATAATACCACAGGAACACGTGATCTTGGATGAATATTCGTTTACATAGAATAAACAAATGACTAAGTGTTCAGCCCACCTGTTACTGAAATTATAATCGCCAGTATTCATATATCAACAGTTGTTGCATAAAGGTATTTGTATTCGTGTTTGTTTTGTATATTAATACGCTCTTACATATTGTTATAATAACTTGATAAAAATATTCCTGATGTTATTCCACGCCCAGTTGGCTGTTGATTATGATTTTTATTGTGAAGTATTCGCATAATGTCGATTAAAAGTGATCTTTTTTTCCCGAGGTAAATATTATACTGAGTGAATAATTGGTTCTTAGCAGACGAGTTAATTTTCTGACATTATTTTATTGGTATACGGTTAATCATCGACACTTTGGTATTACATTTTTTAAAACTATATACATTTTTTAACAAAGTGCATAATTCTGAAACATTTGACATTAAATTCTCCCAGCGACCCTCCAACTGACGTCTAAAGAAAGTGTATTTGCAACACGTGCCTAGTCACAACACTTTTTAGTTTTTGCGCATTGTTTTGGAGAATAATCCCAAGACACCAGCTGTGTATTTTCTTTTGAACGTCAGTTTATGTAAATTAAATTATAAAGGTATTAAGAAGTGTCGTGAGTAGTTTGAGGACGTACCTCTTTTATATGTCGTTTACTACTTTGAAAGTTCATTTTTAATGTCTGTTAATACCACAAGAAAACACTTTGTCAACACCAAGCAATAACCGGTTATTGGGCGAAATAGACTATATCGGTGGCCCAAGCAAAACAGTGATGAAAATTATATCAACTGATGTGATTATATTGTTGTGGTTGTAGTGGTGGTGATCATGATGACGGTATTAATGACGTGACTGCGATGTCGTTGGTTATGACCGTGATGATATCAAAGCTGCTGATGGTGTGTCTAGGATGTCGATGATGATGGTTGTGATGTGATGATAGTGATGTTGCTGATGGTGTGTCTGTGATGTCGATAATGATGATGGTTGTGATGTGATGATAGTGATGTTGCTGATGGTGTGTCTGTGATGTCGATGATGATGATGGTTGTGATGTGATGATAGTGATGTTGCTGATGGTGTGACTGTGATGTCGATGATGATGATGGTTGTGATGTGATGATAGTGATGTTGCTGATGGTGTGACTGTGATGTCGATGATGATGATGGTTGTGATGTGATGATAGTGATGTTGCTGATGGTGTGACTGTAATGTCGATGATGATGATGGTTGTGATGTGATGATAGTGATGTTGCTGATGGTGTGTCTGTGATGTCGATGATGATGATGGTTGTGATGTGATGATAGTGATGTTGCTGATGATGGTGTGTCTGTGATGTCGATGATGATGATGGTTGTGATGTGATGATAGTGATGTTGCTGATGGTGTGTCTGTGATGTCGATGATGATGATGGTTGTGATGTGATGATAGTGATGTTGCTGATGGTGTGACTGTGA